GAGAGAGGCATCATGATCAATCATCTAGAAGTTCTAGAATGAATTTTGTGCCTGGCCCGAGGAAGAGTTTCAAGCCGGGATAAACACTAGCCGTTGTGAATGGGAGACTGAACGTGACTTTGGTGCAGAATTTTATAATGGTCGAAGGGAATTTCTTCTACTGGTCGCAAATTTGAATCTACACATGCAGATATTGAAATCAGTAATTATAGTGATATAGAACAGGATGGTGCTTTTGTTGGTACAGGTCGGGGAGGGAGAAAACTTTTAAATGATGATACGTCATTTCTTCGACATATAAACCCAAGAAGGCATTCCCCTGGAGGGAGAGATGGGCCTGCCAACCGTGGCCTTCCAATTGTTTGTAGAGGTCCAAGAAATGCTAGCCCAGGTAGTATTGGCAATGATGGTTCTCCACTAATTGGACTTAGGCCAAATGATAAGTTCATGAGAGGCTTTCCAGATGACAGCACTCATCCTGTGTTTACCCGCTCTCAACCTCCATTTGAAGGATTAAACGGTCAATTTGTTAGAGGAAATAGAAACTTATCTTCTGTCCAAAGAAGGGGAATTCATCGAATTCGTTCTAAATCTCCTATCAGAGCAAGAGCTCGCTCTCCTGGTCCATGGCCATCTCCTAGGAGAAGATCTCCAGATGGGTTTGGTGGACATCCAGAGTTATCTCATCGAAGATCGCCACCAATTTACAGGATGGAGAGGATGAGATCACCTGATCATCCTTGTTTTCCTGGAGATATGGTTGTTAGAAGACATGGTTCTTCTACATATATGTCTCGACCATCTAATGATTTGAGAGACATGGAGTCTGGACGGGATCATGGACATCCAAGGTCTGTTGTTTCTAATAGGAGCCCATCTGGTCGTGTTTTACTGAGAAAGAACAGGAGATTCGATATGGTAGATCCTCGAGAAAGAACTGATAATGATAATTACTTCAGGGGGCCAATTAGTTCTAGCCGTTTTCATGAACTTGGTAGTGATGGAAGTGTTGATGACAGAAGAAGGTTTGGAGATAGACGTGAGCCTGTTCGTCCTTTTAGGCCTCCTTATAATGGTCCTGATGATGACAGTTTCCATCTTAATGGAGAGGATGGTCCTAGGTCTTTGAGATTTTGTCAAGAAGGTGAGCCTGAGTTTCATGAAAGAGGGAGCTTGAGGGAATTTGATAGACGGGTCAAGAATCGACCTGTGGATGCACCTAGGAGAATGAGAGGCATTGAAGATCAGGAAGGAAATTTCAGGCATGGTGCTCAAATATGGCATGGTGATGGGTTTAATGGTATATCACGGGTTAAAAGAAAACGGTTTTGATTAGTTTTAGGGTTATAATGGGCAGAATTTTGTTGAATTTACATTCTACTTGACATTCTCCAACCGGACAGAGAATGTTAGTGAATGCTAGCTCAGTTCAAAGGTTGGATACTGTGCCTAATGGTTCATTTCTCTGCTGTGTACATAGCTTGTTTCTTTTGGTACCATGTAGGTTGATTCTTCTTCAGACTCTTTACAGTTTCCTTATTTGCTAATTCAGAACGTTGGTGGTTCAGGACTGTTTCAGCAAGCCTTGTCCTTTAATAAATGCTTCAGCAAATCATTAATGATCAAGGGTCATTTTGTCAAAGCCATTCTGTAAATTCTTTGGTCATACTTGTTAGCTTTCTTATATGTTGCCTACAAGTCTATAACACCTGATGGACCAGAGCATATATGCAGTGAGGAACCAATTGGACTCTCAACTGATATTAAGGTCATCAAGTTGGTGATCAATAAACTGAGTTATTGACTATTATTTGCTTTTCCTTTTCTCATTCCTCTTATTCTGTTGCTGAAGTGATGATTTCTTCAATTCTGCAATGAGGGATGATTATCGATATTGCTAAATATGAGATGCGGGTTCATTCAGTTTCTACATGGACCTGAAGGTTATGCAAACTACACTTTGTGTAGCCTATTTTAGGAGGAATATTCTGGTTTGGAGGCAACTTACTCAAACTCCTAGACTGGTTTCCCTCTGATTAGGTTTACTGATCTGTTATTGGTTGAGATACTTTTTGGACTGGACTTTTTTTCTAAGGCATACATGTAAACCATTTGCACTCCAACTGCTATAGCAAATTTTTGGATTTGTACATTGAAGGTTTTGGTTCCTCTGCTGGAGGTAATGTGTGCTGATAAGACGTCAAAGGCGTGAGCTTCAAGGGAATGTGGGATATTAGAGAAGACAATTGATATGTTGCTAGTTTTTTTGGTAGTATCTACCATCTAGACACTTAGAAATTTACATTTACTGCAGATACTTGATAGTGGTTGCTGCTTTCATGTCATGGCTAATAAGTGAAATCCTATTGACCAGTATTATAGGCGTTTGCTTTGGGACAATTCCTTTCTTCTGAATTGATTTGGTGCCTTGAAATGTGGGATGGCACTGCCGTTTGAATTGGGATAGCCTATATATCTGATGGCTTTGATGATTGATTTCTTTGACCCTTGATGTGGTTTGGACCTTGGCTGTGCTTGGCACAACATGGATAGTGAGACAAGGTTGAGAAATGCGATGCCAGTCATGAATGCAGGAGTTGAATATTGTTGATAATGGACCAAATGGTTAATTTAGGAATTTGGGAAGTCAGATATGATCGATAATCTGGTTGGCCATGGACTATGGTTCAAGTTACCAGTATAAAGAAGATCGTAGTTAAAAAAAAAAAAAATGTCACTAGACAATTTTGGTTGGCATCTCCTTTGGGATTAAACTTGGGAAACCATTAGATTCATAAACTCATTAATTACTAACTGAACTAATTTCCTATGATGGTAATATAAATTGGCTGAGGTGCTTAGCCGGCTTTATTCTTAAGGAATGGTATGGTAGTCCTCAGTTTTATGTTATTGAATAGAAGTAAAATTTAAGTGTGAAATTATCTTTCAAAAGTTATTGAAAAGGAATAAGAAATGAGTCAAATGTTTCATTAAGTGGAATCGGTAAATGGTATTGGAATTGACTATATGTATATGTAGGATTTTCTACCAGTAGGGTTGTTTAGTTTCATGATTTCTATAACAATTTTCTCGAGGGAATTTATAAATCTATTTATACTTGTCGCTATTTTGGATGTTATAGGAGAGAAATGTAAGAAATTTTGAGGGGATTGAGGATGAAGGGGATTTTAATAGGATTAGAACCCGACCTTTATTTTTTATTTTTGGTTACTCTCTTTATTCAAATTATAAATTTTGTGAAATTTATTGACATATTTATATATTTAAATTATAAATTTTTATGTTTGGTAATATAATATATAACTAAACATAATGTAACTAATCACGAGCAATTGCTTAGGTCTACATGGTATGTATATTCTTCTTTTCCTACAATAATAGGACAAAATTTTTACTTTTTATATTTATTGATAAATCTAATTAGAAGAGAACAAACAAAAAAAAAAAAAAAGAAAAAAAAACACTTGTAAAACTATAACTAAATTTGTTTATCTTGTTATGCATTTGATCTCGAATTATTAATTTTTGTTATTTGTTTGTGTAATACCCAATTTAATTTTTGGTGCAATTTAAATTAATTTGTAATATAATTTTTTAATTTTAATTTAATGTAAAAATGAAAAAAAAATTGAAGGAAGATGAAATTGAAAATAATTTTGAGGAAAAATAATAAAAATTTAGGTTCTAAGAGTATTTTTAAAAGAAAAATAAAAAATTAAGGGTCAAAATATAATTTAAAAAAGTTGTGTCACGTAGGACGACTCAGATCCGCTCCCGCGCGCACGGACGACCCAAATGCGTGCACTCCCCAGGCGCGATCGGATGGTCATATTTAAACGCGATCGGACGGTGTAGATCAAATGCGATGAATGATCCAAATTAAAAGAGAACGTGTATAAATAACCATTTTCACACCAAACTCTAACCCTAGCTGCCAGATACCCTCGCCGGATAAGAAGACTTAGCTGCCGGAAAGGAGAGCCGTCGCCACCCGTCGCCGCGCCGGAGCCACTTCCGACCACCAAAAGAGGTAAAAATTTTCTCATTTGCTCAGAATTCCATTTTAAACACCCCCGTGGTTAAATCGGAGCCAAAAGACCGGTGGATTGGTTGGAAACTGCAGACAAAGCTCGGTAGTGCCACCGCGGGAAATTTCAAAAATCTCCTCCGATGAGGCCCTTCTTGATTCCCGTTCTGCGAAATTTTTTCACCATTGTAATCACCGTTTCCTTCTCTACAGGTTGACCGAAGCAAAACACCCAGTTGCAAAAGTGAACCGGCAGAGCCGCCGCATTGGAGAGTTCCGCCGCCGACAAGTTTCAGTTTTTCATTTTTTTCGACCAACTGAGGCCCCTTAATGTATTTTTTCGTAAGAATTGATGCAAAACTGGCTGAAAATAGCCAAACCAAGGCGAATCGCCACCGGCCATCGCCGGAGCACGGCAGAGCTACCGTGCTGAAATTTCAGAATTGGCCAAAAAGGGGTCCTGACACTATTTCTGGGTTTTTTTTTTGGATATTTGTAGGTACTTGTAGCGCGTTTTAATCTTTGAAGAAAAATTCAGGGAATCTAGAGACTACCAGTAGGCGCAATCAAATAGTTTCGCTTGTTGGACATTGAATTGAGTAAGAATCCCTCACTCTACTATCTGTTATGGAATTGAAGTCAAATTAACAATAATACGGTATTTTGTACAAATTAGAAAATATCCATAATTAATTATGGGTTACTAATGGAGGCGGAACTGAAAATTATCTAATGTTATTTATGTTGATTGTTTTTACAGTTTAAATGCATGATAGTATTTTATTGATCAATTCTATAGTTTGAAATATATATATTGATCGTTTTATGTATTTAGGATTGGATTGGAAAATAATATAGATTAAAGGATAACGAAAAATTGCGTGATTAAGTGAATGAACGAAACGACAGTCTTACTGGATATCCTGAGAGATGGTGGATAGACCTGGTATATGAGGAACCCAACCGTGAACATTGCCTCATAACAGACGGGGTATCGAGATTTGGTAATTTGGCGCTCATACCGGACGGGGTATGGGGACGGTCCGTTTCACCCTCATACCGGACGGGGTATTGAGGTTTAATAGTTTGACGCTCATACTGGACGGAATATGAGGACAATCCGTTAATTTGAAATATTAAAGGAAATGGTTCATATGTTGTGAAAACATCCATATGAACTCCCATGTATACTAGTAGACTGATAAAAAGGATAAAATAGTTGTTCAAATCGATTACATATAAAATCATGATTTGTGTTATGTTATTGTCTCTATAATTTGTTTTATAAATTTCACTATGGTAAGTAGATGGTAAAATATTTTATTTATGATAAATGAATTTGTTTAATTAAGAGCTCAGTTAGTTATTTTTTATTTTTCTACCAACATTCATTTCTATATCGGTGAGTAGCGTGATATTCTTACTGGGCTAGTATAACTTATTCCTTATTTAACCATTTCAGATCAAGAGGACTAGGATCCAGAGCCCGATCCACAAGAGGGTTGCGAGTAGGATACATTTTTTATTTATTTTCTGTTTATTTCCTTAATTTTTATATTTTCTTTAAGAAGGGTAATTTCTGTATCACAATTTGGTACTTTAAGTTATTGTGTAATGAATGTAAACCCTAACTAATTATTTCGCTTCCGCACTTAATTTATGATTTATTTCTTTTAGAATTTTGTGGTCGTTACAGTTGGTATCGAAGCTGTGTTCCTTGGACCCATTCTTTATACAAAATCCTTAGGAAGCACCAAAAACAATGAATTATCACTCAACAATTCCTTATGAAATGTAAGTATAGATAGATGAGGAGAGGAATACCCCCACTAAACCGAGCAGCCCGAGAGGGTTTGCTTAGAGAGGATGTTGACTAGTTATTTGAGATGTTGGAGAGACTCATTGCTGCCTAGCAGACATGGGAGGAAATGAGTAGCTACCTGACCCTCCCCTGTTGCCACAGGTTGAGCCACCCCTACAGCGAGAGGATCCCAGCCACCTCGGTATGACTCTGCTCCTCCACAGTACCATCCCGGCACCACCATATTATGATCCGGTGCCTCAGCCACATTACCATCGGGCACACTATACTATGGGCCCGGTGTCCAATCACATCACTACACTATCATAGTACCATCCAATGCCTCACCGTATCATCCAGTACCAC